TGGCGCGTCACGAAATTGCGGTCCAAATACGCGCTGCCACGGACGAAGGGGGCGCCAGCTGAGCGTCCCACATCCCGGCAGTGCGCCGGCACATGTGGACCACGATAGAGTGCGTCCAGGGCCAGCGGGCCCGGAGGCGCCCCCCCCCGCAGGCCGCGACGCAGGGCAGCAACGGGCCTGCTGCCAGAGACCATCCTCCTCGCACCTGACCCCCACGAGCGCGATGCCGTTTCAAAGTGTGGGCCAGCGGAGTGTGTCTACGAGAGCCATTATGATAGGACATCCAAGTGACATGGTAGCAGCTGCACGCCGAGAACAACTGCGCATGAGGGTGGTGCCGCGAACCGCCGCGAGACGGGCCTGCTGCCTGGGGCCGCCCTCCACGCACCTGTTCCCCGCGCGTGCGATACCGCGAGGGGGGTTAGCAGGGCTACTGCGGGGAGACGGCCCACCACTGTTTTTCGCGCTTCTTGGGGGCCTGGTTGTTCGGGTGGCCCCTTGCCGCGCGGCGATCACTGCCCACTCCGCCGCTCCAACCCAGGAGCAGCTGCCGCGGCCGAGCCCCGTCGACGTCGAGGCCCGGCGCGTCGCTGAGGACACGTGCGTCGCACTTGTGGCTGCGGAAGGATTCCGGGAAGAGGTGGCAGGTTTGCGGGTCGTGCCGAAGCGGGTCGAGCGCGCCCTTGCTGCCGGGCACGGGCTGCCGCTTGGCGAAAGCGTGCGAGGTGCCAGTGAACATTGGTCCCAGTGTGACTTGGAGTCGTCTTATCACGTCGCCGGGTGTCTCCCCGGGGAAGTCGCGCTGGATGTTGTTGATTCCTTTTTTGTGCAGCTGTTGTCCCGTGCCTGGGTCCTAGGGCTCGGGCCATTGGCGCGGGTCGGGCCTATGGTGCCGCCGTGTATCCTGGCTGCAAGTCTCCAACGTACCGGCCTCGTTGTCCTGGCTGGAGGGCTCGCGATCTGCTCGCGACAGCTCCGGCTGCACGCCGGGCGGGGTTTTGCGGGGAAGTGCAGGCCGCATGGTTGGCCGCCAGGCGGGGGTCGGATCGCGTCCGGCGGCGCGGGCAGACGCAGCCTCGTGGCGCGTGGGGAAGGGCCCCTTTCGCTGGCGTTCGCCTGCGGGCCTGTGCCCGCCGTCGCTCCCAGGTGCGTCCTCTTTGGACAGTGTGGGACTCTCTCCGGTCTCTGGGGTGCCGCTGGTTGTGCCGGGCGCATGCACGCTCGACGGCGCGGCTTCCATATCCGGGGCGCGAGCTGCTTTGCCAGTGGCGCCCTGGGCGCCTGGCGAGGGCGCCTGGGGCCCGCCGCCCATAAGAAGCTCACAGACAGGGGAAGGGGGGCGAATAGGCGCGAAGAGGTTTCTCCCGACGAGCCAGCGGATGGCTTCGCTGTCCTGCGTCTGGATGGTTGCTCCGTGGTCTCCCTGCTGGGTGCGTGGCGCTCCCAGAGGACTGCTGACGGACTGACTGCTCTGAGGGGGGTACCCCGCGGCTTCCGCAGCCCCCGCCGTCTCCGCCGTGACTTCCAACTCCGCCTCATCAACCGCCTCTCGATTCCCCTCTGGGACGTCATCATCTGTCAACGAAGCAGGGGGTGGCAAGTTGCCGCTGCTGCTGCTGCTGCTGCTGCTGCTATGTTCCGAGATGTCGCCGTGAGTATCGGGATCTCTCGCGTCAGCGCCAGGCGCCGCGATCTGGGCCCAGGCAGCGGCAGGAACCTTCGGGGTCGCATCGAGCCCGCGCGGGACGTCCGCGAACTCCAGGTCGGCCGAAGGCGACTTGGGCAGCTTGCCAGCGATGTCAGGCGCGATGTAGCCCAGGGTCGCCAGCATGCTCACGCGGCCGCCCTTCAGCTCTGCCTGCCACTGGTGAGCGAGATTCTCCGCGCAGCCGTCCGTTGTGCAGCCAGTAGGACCCCAATGGCCCGGGGGGCCCTGAACGCCCAGCTCGCTCTCGAACTTGAAGGCGCGCAGCGGGGATCCAGTGTACAGTGCCCCATCGCCCTGGGCGAAGCCAATCCGGCAGTCCTGGATGAACGTGCCGAGGGTCGCCAACCTGGCAAGGCGGCCGTTCGCAATGTCCGCCGCGGGGTCGCTGGACGTCGACATCGCGAAGGCGAAATTGCGCGTGGCAGCCGTGATGTCCGCGGACTGGTCCTCGAGGACAGCGGCCGCAGCGAACGCCTGCTCTTCTCGCGCGCGCTGGCCAGGGTGCCCTATGTGAGGATGTTGGGATTCAGCTTCGCTGCTGCCATCTCGCTCAGCAGCGCCATTGCCTGCTGCCTCTGCCAGCGCCTGCTGCTCTTCTCGCGCTCGCTGATCAGGGCGCTGCAAGGGGAGATGCTGGGCTCCAGCTGCATGGCCACCGTCTCGCTCAGCAGCGAATGTGTTTGCTGTCGCTGCCAACGCCCTCTCTTCTCGCACGCGTTGTTCAGAGCGCGGTAGGTGATGTGGTAGGGCTCCAGCTGCACGACCACCATCTCGCTCAGCAACGCCATTGCCCGCTGTCACTGCCAACGCCCGCCCTTCTCGCACCGGCTGTCCAGGATGTAGTAGTTGATGATGTTGGGCTTCAGCTGCGCGACCTCCATCTCGCTCAGCAGCGCCACAAGTCTGAAACCACTGCCGACGACTGCTCTTATCGCACGCGCTGTTCACAGTGACGTACGCGATGATGTTGGGCTCCAGCTTCACGGCCATAAGCTCGCCCAGCAAAGCCACAACCTGCTGCCGCTGCTGACGCCTGCTCTTCTCGCACGCGCTCTTCACGGTGCCATAGGTGATGATGTTGGGCTCCCGCTACGCGGCCACAATCTCGCCCAGCAGCGGCACTGCCTGCTGCCACTGCCGACGCCTGCTCTTCTCGCACGCGCTGTTCACCGTGCCAGAATTCGTGAACATGGGCTTCAGCTTCACGGACGGGGCCTCGATTAGCAGCGCCACAACCTGTTGCCGCTGGCAACGCCTGCTCTTCTCGCACGCGTTGTTCACAGTGCCGTACGTGATGATGTTGGGCTCCAGCTTCACGACCAGGATCTCGCTCACCAGCGCCACGGCCAGCTGCCACTGCCAACGCCTGCCCTTCTCGCACCAGTTGGTCAGGATGACGTGGGAGATGATGTTGGGCGCCAGCTTCATGACCAGCGGCGGCCGCCGCCAGCGGCCCGCCCGAGGCGGCCGCGGCGGCGGCGGCGGCAGCGGCGGCCGCGACACCAGCGGCGGCGGGAGCGGCGGCACCAGCGGCCGCGCCGCCACGGCGGCAGCCGCCGCACCCGCGGCGGCCGCCGCCGCCGCGGCAGGCCCCAGAGCAGCGGCGCGCGCCACAGCGCCGGCGGCCGCGGCGGTCTCGCCGCGGCCGGCCGCCGCCGCAGCCGCGGCGGCCGCAGCGGCGGTGGCGGCCGCGGCGGCGGCGCCGCCGGCCCCGCCGAGGCAGATCTGCGGCTCCAAGGGCGATTCCAGAGAGCGGGTCGTATCGAGCATGGGGCAGCACGCAAGATGATTGCCAGCGGGCCAAAAGCCAACGCCGGAGTGCAATTAGCGAATGCACGAAGCGGCATTCCTGGTGGGGATACTTCTTTTTTTTTTACAGCCGCAGGCGGAAGCGCCAGCGGCGGCGGGTCACGGTCGGGCTGCGGCCGTGACGAATTAGCCGGGCGCGCGGGGGGGGCCGCGGATCAGGCGGCGGTGCAAACTGCAGCCCAGGGAGTCTGAAGGGAAACAGCCACCCAGGAAGCAGGGAGGACGCTGCCAAAATGGCGCGACGCACATCCCCAGTCATGGATCGTGTCGGTCCGACAATCACAAGGTAGTGGGGATCAGTCTCCGTGCATGAGGGGCGTCAGAGAGCCCAGGGTGTCTGTCGGGTATGAGCGAGACCGTAGGCAAAGGGACTGACGTCGTCCAGCAGGGAGAAGGGACTCTGACAGCGCCAGCAAACCGTCGCAGCTTCAGAGAAAACGTCCAGCGGCTGACAGGGTACGCCTGGAGTCATTGACAACCGGTGTCAACCTGAGAACAACTGCGGAGGGATGCGCCTGCACGCGAGAGATCAACGACATGATGTGACGCAGTGCAGGGGTACACCTGCTCCCGACCTTGGCGAGAGACACGTCGGCCAATCGAGGGTGACGGGGCGTGTACCAGGAAGCAACTAAGTGACATAACAAAGAGCGGCTCTCCATCCACGCTGAGGGGCCAGTAAGAGGAAAAGCGCTCAGAGAAAGCTGTGCTGCCGCATACCCACTGCAGCACAAGCAATCCGTAGTCACGAAGAGGCCCAGGGAGTGGCCGCTCAACCAGGTTGAGCGTGGGAGCGACGATGGGGTGACGTCAGTGCGCACAGACCCTCGCGGCGAGCGGTGCACCACTGGCCACTGGGGTAGCACGCCTGGGCCAACCGCTGCAAGACTGTGAAATCATGTGCGACGCACGCCTGGGACTCAGTCAGAGTGCGGCCTCAGCGGACCGGCCTGGTGGGGATACGCGAAGCGTCAAGACTTGCATTCCGTCAGCGATCTCCAGTCTCCTCCGCGCGTGCCAACTTCCGGCGGCGAGCGGTCGGGGGAAGTGAGAAGGAGAAGCCCTTCTCAGAAGGCGACGGGACTCCTCAGAAGCCTTCGCGCCCTCTGAGAAGTCGCCCGTGTCCTCGCAGGAGGCTCAGCAAACTTCTCAGATGGCCAAGGGGCTCCCGAGCCTTCTGAGGAGGCCTTCTCCTCTTCACTTCCCCCCCGGCTCGCCGTCGAAACTTTGAGTTTGGGGGCGAAGGGGAGTGTCCACTACATTGGAGGCCCGACCACAAGAAACCTCCCACAAGAAACCCAACCCTGAGACCCCAGGACGTCCATCGACTTCTGGTGTGGGAGCGTCACGCCTTCCATCGCAAAGCCATCGAAAGCCAAGACACCCAGGGCACCCTCAGGCCCTGGAGACAAGCAGGGTGTCTCTTGGCATGGGCCCCCACTGTAAAGTGCTTCCCCCAGCCGTCCCTCCCAGCCGCGCGGTCCACGAGGCAGCGGCGCGCGCCCGGGAACGTGCGGACGTGCCGCACCTCGGACTGTTGCGCCTCGTCCTCCTTCTCCTCCGCGCCGGTGGGGCGGCGGCGGCGACCCGGACGAGGCCCTCCGCGGCGTCGGCGGCGGCGACGAGACGACGGCGGCCTCGGCCACCCCTCCTCCTCGCGCGTCGCCGGGTCGTCGTCTTCGTCCTCCTCCCCGTCCCCCTCCTCCTCCACCTCCCTCCTGCCTCCTGCCTCCTCCCCTCCTCGTCCTCCCCCCTCCTCGTCCTCCTCCTCGGCCTCCTCCCCGTCCTCCTCCTCCTCCTCCTCGTCCTCCGCGACCTCCGCGCCCTCCCCCCTCCTCCCCCCTCGAGCTCCTCCTCGCCCTCCGCCCTGCTCGGGACTCTCCCTGGGCGCCCCCCGCGTGCCTCCGGCTGTGCCTCTCCGGAGCGCCATGGCAGGGGCCCTGCTCCCGGCCCCCGGGGCCCCCGGGCGCGGGCCCAGGCGTGGGCCCCATTGCTGACTACCTACCAGACCACCCCAACCCAACCCGAAGACCCGAATTTGACCCGAATTTCGGGTTGGGGGGGGGTACGGGTTCCATATGTTTTTTCGACGTTCCCCGACCCCCCCCCCCCACTGGAAATGGAGGGCAAATTGAGGCCTTCGGGTTGGGTTGGGGTGGTCTGGTAGGTGGTGAATTGCCGCGTGGCCGTAGAGGTCGTCCAGCGTGTAAAGATAGAGCGGAGCCCAGGGAGCCCCGGAGCACACAAAAAAAGTACACCCACACACACGAGTCCCAGGATTCCCCATGTTCTCCCAGAGGTTCTGGGTTCTCGTCTGGCCCCCCGCACTTCCCATATTTCCCCATATGTTCCTGGGCATCGGCGAGTAATTGTGTCTGTGTGTGTTTTTTTCCGCGGCCGCTGCTGGGCAGGCGGCCTTGCGTCAAAGTAGGCAGCGTCTGCGGCGACACCGGCAGCGAGTCCTGCTCAACACGGTCCAGGATGAGCAAGGAATGCTGCCAGTCTTCGTGCCCATATTTCGTGCCCATTTCGATCGCACCGATCTCAGGACCAGGCCTCGAATGCGGGCCGGCGGTGCCACATCGCACGCTATCTTCCCAGCGAGCCGCATGCAGTTGTTTTTGGCTGTTCTCCGTCTACGGTCGGACCTGGCATGAAAAAATAACTCCCTCTCAAGAGCGTGGGAACCCCCGCTGGCCCAGACGGAAGAGCACTCGAGGGTGCCCATCCCCCTGGATGCACGTGAGCACCCAGCGACCACGGAGAACGTCAGGGCACCCTCCCCGAAGCGACCTCGACCTCTCCTGCCCCCGGTCCGCCCGCAGCGAGGGCGGCGGCGAGGGTGGGGGGCGGGCAGGGCGGCCGCCCCCGGGGGGCCTCCCGAGGCCCGTGGGGGGGAGGGGGCCCAGGCGCGCCCGAGGCCGGGCGGAGCGCAGGGGCCTGAGAGCGGGGGCCTGAGAGCGGGCTCCGCACGGCCTGCGCTGGGAGGGGCGGGGGTGGGAGGGAGGGGCGCTGGGAGGGGGGTCGGGAAGGAAGCGGGTCGGCGGCGAGCGAGGAGGGAAGTGAGGAGGAGGAGGCCCCCTCAGAAGGCTCGGAAGTCCCCCTGGCCATCTGAGAAGTGTGCTGAGCCTCCTGCGAGGACACGGGCGACTTCTCAGAGGGCGCGAAGGCTTCTGAGGAGTCCCGCCGCCTTCTGAGAAGGCCTTCTCCTTCTCAATTCCCCGATCGCTCGCCGCCAAGATTTTTTGGTGGCAGACTCCTGATCCCTTGTATTTTGGGCGATTTTGCAAGCTGGGTGGATACTCCCGACCATCTTGGCAAACTCGTTGAACCGACTATCAAAAAACGTGTCTTACGCGATATGGCACAGCGACCTTACGCGACAGCTTACGCGGGCCGGTGGGGCGGCACGCTACATTGGAAACAAGGAAACTTGCGAGCGACCTTACGCGCCAATGACGGCACAAACGACCCCGTGGCTTTTGCATCGCCCCTTTGATGCCGATGCCCGCCCTGCGTTGCCGTCGCTGATCCCGCCATGCCTTCGCGGAAATATGCGCCCTGCCTCGCTGGGGCGGTAATTTCCGCCCTCCTTTTTCGCATCGTTCGGAATGTTTTCTCCGACATTGTCACGTCGGATAATTAGGGGAGGTGAGAGGGCGAGCCGCGAGCGGGGCAGAAGCGCAGGGGAGGAGGAAGAGGGCGGGGGGAAGGCAAGTGGAAGACGGAAGGACAACACAATGGAAAATCATGTCCAACTTCGGGGAACTTTGTCTGTCCCATTGGACCGCTATCTGCGTCGAAATCGCGTGTGTCGAACGCGTCGAATCCGCGTCGAACCCACGTCGAATCAGCGTCGAATCCGCGTCAAATTTGCGTCGGATGCAAGAAGGGACAGCCATGTAGAGGACAGGCAAGGTCCTACGATGATCAAACGGAGAGACGGGTGCCCCAATAGAGGCCTCCCACAGCGGTTCCGAGTAGATGTAGTCGGAAGATTCCGCGGCATCACCGATGCATCGGCGACGTCGGCGTGCAGCAACGCGGGCTCTGCACCGCGCCGCATCGGCAATGCATCGGTCATGCGGCGCGATCCTCCGACTTCCTTTGCTCGGACCCCATCTGGGTAGGTTTCGGATTTCGCCACATTCGAGGGCGCGCACACATGGATTAGCGATCCATGGATTTGGCGCGCGGCTGCCAAATCCATGGCTCAACAAAGGTGCCCTCCCCAACATGCGGCCCGTGCGGCCTCGCTCGGCGGCGGAAAAATCTGCAATCCCCCATGGAAGTGGCCGGTTGCTGACCCACGCCCCCTGAAAACCCATGTGCGCGACCGCCTGCCACACGCCCCACGGACCCCGAAGCCCGCCCCCGCCGCCAGCGATCGGACTTCTCGGACTCGGCGCCGCCGTGGTCGTCGTCGTGGTGCGTCGTCGTCGTCGTCGCCGTGGTGCGTCGCCGTGGTGCGTCGTCGTGGTCGTCGTCGTGGTCGTCGTCGTCGTCGTCGTCGTCGTCGTCGTCGTCGTCGTGGTCGTCGTCGTCGTCGTGGCCGTCGTCGGCCGCGGCGGCGCGGCGTCCTCACAGGGCGCCGCCCGGGGAGCCCCCATGGGCGCCGCGGAGGCGCGCGGCGCAGGCTGCGCCGCTGCGGCGGGTCCGCCGACCCCAGGGGCCTCCCGGGCCGAGCCGGGCCACAAATGGCTGCCCGGGCCAGATCTCCAGGATGGAATCGACAAGTCGGATCGCCGATCGACATGCATCGGATCGGCGGAACAATCGGCACAGCCGAGCCGAGCCGAGTCGAATCGGCGGGCATTGGCAGGCTAGTAGCACCTCTAATGAGAAATCGGAGCCCAAATCGGAATCCCAAGCCAAATGGAATCGGAGTCGGAAGCTATCGAAATCAAATCGAATCGAATCGGAGGAATCGCAACGACCCCTGTCTCAGGAGCCCGATGTTATATTCCTCGCGATGAGGCCCGTGACCGGCCCCGCCCACAACCACTGCCCCCCTCGCGAGCATCGGGCCGCACCGGATCCACGGAGCATCCAGACCAGATCGGACCGGGCCGACCAGAATCGAAATCGAAGAGGACCGATCGGATCGAACTGGACCCCGTCGGGGCTTGAAGCTCGAGGATCGGGTTTCGCGGTTCGGGGTGCACGGTTTCCCCCGGGGCCGTAGGCGACCCAAGAAGGAGGAAGAGGAGGAGGAAGAGGAGGAGGAGGAGGAGGAGGAGGAGGAGGCGAGGAGGAGATGGAGGAGGAGGAGGCGGAGGAGGAGGAGGCGGAGGAGGAGGAGGAGGAGGAGGAGGAGGAGGAGGAGGAGAGAGAAGAGAGGAGAGAGGAGAGAGGAGGAGGAGGATGGGTCGCCTAAGCCCTTCGGAAAAAAAAACCTCCAGTTCGGGGAACGAGGTTGGGAGGATAGAGGCTCGAGGCTCGAGGAGCGAGGCTCGACGTTCGAGAGCAGCGATGGCTCGAGCCTCGGGGATCTCGGGGCTTTCGCGGCGTCTATGGGCCCACTGTCGGGGGGGATGTCAAGGTTACCTGCCGGGCCTCCCCAAGCCAACCCGAAACCCCAAGTTTCGGGTTCGGGGGGGGGGGCGGGTTCCATGTGTTCCCGGACGCCCCCCGCATGGAATGGAGAGCAAATTTGGGCCTTCGTGTTGGGGTGGTTCAGTGAGGGGTGAAAGGTGGGGTAGTAGGGTAAACCCAGAGGAGAGGTTCGAGGAACATCGCTCTGGACGGCACTCCCCAACCCCAAATTGGGCTAACCCCATCGCTTCTTGGACGCCCGAACGAAAGGGGTACGGAAAACATGGGCACGATGCCCAACAACAGACGTTCTCCAAAACAGACAGCGGCCGCTGTTGGGCAGGCGGCCTCCTGCCTCAAACGGACAACGTCCGCGGCGACAACGACAGCGAGTCCTGCTCAAAATGAGCAAGAACTGATGTCGGTCTTCGTGCCCAGTCTTTCCGTACCCATTCCGATCCAACCGATCTACTGCTCCCCGGACCTCTCCCCAGGGTAGCTCTGACTTGGATTCCGAGGCGGATCCAGCCATGGCGACGAGGGCCCCTCAGGAGGCCCAAAACTGCGAAAACGATGCAAGGACAGCAGCGTGGGGACCTTTTCCTCCTCGGAACTCTCCTGAACTGGGCCAGCCGCGTGCCCTGGCCCGTGGGGACTCGGGTGTCTCCGGAGGCCACACTGGGCGGACGCTGGTCGAGAAGCGGGGCCGCCTGCCTGGACACGCTTTGTGGACGAGGGCTGAGGAGCGAGGATCTGTGATGCAGAGGACTGGGGATCGAGGGCGAGAATCGAGGAGTGAGGACAAGGACTGAGGAGTGGGGATCGTGGACGCAGAGGCCCAGGGACTGAGGACGAGGATTGAGGAGTGAGGGCGAGGATTGAGCAATGAGGACGGAGGATTCAGGACTGAGGGAGTGAGGACGAGGATTGGGCCTTGAGGCTCCTGGATATATATATATATATATACACGTATATACACATAAGTGTGTATGTATGTATGTATGTATATATATATAGATATATACAGAGATATCGGGAGGCAGCTCGTTGCAGCGCGTGTGGCCCCCTTTTGGGGCCGGGGCCACGGGCCTCCAGAGCTCCGGGGGGGGGGGGGGGCCTCGCGCCAGGGTAGCTCGGAGGGTGCCTCCGCGTGCGGGAGTGCCCGAGCCCTGCAGCGCTGGGATCTTGGACGACAGAATTGAAAGGGGCCCTGGGACACACAAAGAAATACACAAACATAACCGGATTCCCCATATTTTCAAATATTTTCTGTGCTTTTGTCTTCCCAGCCACTTCCAATATTTTCCCATATTTTCCTGAGAATCGACGATTAATTGTGCCTGTGTGTGTTTTTTTCCCTCCTGAAGAGGTCAAAACAGTCACACACAAGTTCAAACATCTTCAAGATTACCCTAAACAAAAAATGTCCCCTGAAACAACGCCCCGGATCCGCGGGGCCGCGGCCCACAGTACCAGCGAGGCCGCGGATGCCTGCATGTGTCTCGCCCACGAGGGGGCGAGAAACAAGGGCTGCTTCCAAGATGCCTTCCCCCCTCCCCATCCATCCCCCCCTCCGCGCGCCGCCAAACCTGGCCCAGACGGGACCCCGCGATCCTGGCGATGGGGACTCGCCAAGCGTCTTCCCACCCTCTGCGCGTGGCTGACCCCCCCCCCCCCCCCCGGCCTGGGCACGCCCCCCCCCCCCCCCCTCTGCAGGAGATCCCGAGCCAGGAGCCCTTTTTCCTCCACCCCGCTGGGCGAGGCCTCGGCCCCGCTGCACGAATTGCCCCTCGTCCTCTTCCTCCTCCTCCTCCTCCTCCTCCTCCCTCCTCCTCCTCCTCCTCCTCCATTCCTTGTCCTTGTGAATAACATCTCCCTGTCGCACCCCGAGGCAATGTTCTAGGGCGGTCTGGGCATTTCGCCTGAGACGTCCCCACGATTTAAGACTTTGAAACTTGAAATTGCAACAGTTTCGCATTTTCAAAATGTGGCTCTCGCCTTAGCGCGGCGCACATTCGTTTTAAATATTTGCAAAGAGTTTCACGGATTGGGGGCGGGTCTTTTTCATCATGTGGCTCTCGTCTCAGCGCGGCGCACATCCGTTTTATAACGAATTATAAGACTTTCGCGGTTTGAGGGCGGGTCGTTTTCAAAATGTGGCTCTCGCCTTCCGCGCACATTCGTTGTTTAAATTAGCAAGAGCTTCACGGAATTAGGGCGGTTCCTTTTCAAAATGCGGCTCTCGCCTAAGCGCCGCGCACACTCGTTTACTAACTGTGTAAAGAGGTCCACGGCCTCCCATCATCAATGCACCAAACATGGTGTTTTGAACTGTTTCAAGATTATGCGGGTTCAACAGTTACGTTGATTCGCTGCTGAGTTGAAGTCCAAGGAATGGCGTTCTGGCAAGATTCTGGATCGTCAACACGCAACACTCAGGTCGCCCCCGGGCGAGGAAGCGAGGAAAGCGAACCCTACGCCTACCCCCTACATTGCACCAACACACGTCCTGCACACAAACAAATGTGCTGCCACAGTGATTAGCTGCCCCCCGTCCACCTAACCATGAGCGGCGAACATATCCGTGACCGCTTCCTCGCAGTCTGGATTCCGGGACGCGATCCCGCGGGTACGCGGTCGCACGGATTACGGTCAACGCGTGGCATCCGCGAACAAAACGTTCCGTGTCAGCGGGGTCGCAGCCCAGGGGCCCAGCCCGCAAGCCGCGGATACGGATTTGTTCCACCCACGAGCCCAGGGCGCGCGCCCGCGTCCACCAGGAAGTCGGCGATGGCCTCGCAGGAGCGCGGGTGGCCGTCCTGTGGCGACTCCGAAAGGCGTGGTTGGCAAAGGGGTGTGTTTTGCAATCTGCGCCTTGGGGGGGGGGGCGGGCGAGGATCTCCACAGAGATCCGATGAGGGCTCACCAAGCCTTTGGCGCAACGTGGTGACCCCTTAGGCCCCAAATTGATGGGCCAATTTTCCACCACCACTACCATAAGTAGGAGAGGGAGGAGGAGGAGGAGGAGGAGGAGGAGGAGGAGGAGGAGGAGGAGGAGGAGGACCTCCTCCTCCTCCCTTATCTCCCGTCCTGAATTTGTCAGTGGTGGTGGAAAATCTGCCCCACCACACATGGCGCCGATCGCAAGCCACACCCCGGCGCAACCACACCGCCTCCGTGCTCGCCGAGTCCTGCAGGCGCCCAGAGCACCAGCAGAGCCGGTAGGCGCCGCCTGCGCGCGCGCGGCGAGGCGCGCAGGGCGAGGCGCGCGGGGCGGGGCGGCCGCGGCGGGGCGGCCGCGGCGGGGCGGCCGCGGACATCCGGGGGGGACGCTGGGGGGGGGGCGGGGGGGCAGCTCAAGGTGCAGGGGAGGGGGAGATCAGAGAGCCAGTGATCCGTGGGATGGCGACGGTGGATGTTTGTTCTCCTCTCACGATGAGGAAGGGGGGCAGGTGAAAGGTGCGAAATGGGAGGGAGGGATCAGCGAGCCAACCCGATCTGTGATCCGCGGGATAGAGACGATCTATGTCTTCTCCTCTTGCGATGAGAGAGTGCTAGCATCCATAGGTCAGCACCTTGCGGACCGAACGGGCAGCGGTGGAGGTGAGGATGGAGATCAAAGAGGGCACACACACAAGATGGGGGAAACATCGCCCTAGAATGGGCGATACATCGCCGATGCATCGGCCATATGCGAGAGGCCCCCGAAAGCGCATCTGGACGGTCCTTGGCAGGGCGAGGCTATCGGGCCCATCCTGCGATGGATGGGCCACTCGGGGCCGATGCAGCCCCCACTGCGCCTGCCCACCCGAGCGCTGCCCCAGAAGAGATGGCCAGCCTGGCCTTGGGCTCATCGGCTGGCCTGTCGATGCTGAAGGAAGGCTTGCCGATGGGTGCCCGGCCATCGACAAGCGCGTTCCACTACTCGCAACGCAGCTACTCGCAAATGGCCAACATCCGCCGCGGGGATTTCAGCTCCACCACAGAAGGGAAGACATGCTTTGCTTGATGCTTGCGGGTAGGCACCCTGCGAGTAAGCAGTGGAACGCGCTCGGTGAGGCCAGCATCCTGTGGCGCACGGCCGCTGCGCAGGCCCGGCTGCCAGCCGCAGAGGGTCCGTGCGCCGGTGGAGCTGGTTCTGGGCAAAGGGGGTC